ACATAATTATCTTCTCCAACTTTTTATGGATTGTATTCAGTGGTTGGTGTTCGGTGGTTAGTGTTTGGCATTTGGTTTTATTGGTTGACATTCAGCATCTACAACAAATGGCAGGTGGTGACATTTTGCATGTTAATGCCTTGTAGGAGAAGAATTATGATTCTGGTGACCTTGGATTTCAAATCAGTTCACTCAGTATAGAGACAGAATGATAAAATAACAGAAAATATTTCCAATTGTAGATTAGTTCTCCCTTAATAGAAGTAAATCATAGATAAATGTCAAAGTACATGTAACTATTTATGAACAGGAACTTTTTCTTGATATATTATACTAATAAGCAAGTTCAAATAATTGTCGATTTTATGAAATTCCAGTGCGATTCCGTTCAAGGTGGCTTTGAGGAATGATAACCATGTAAAGTGCTATGCAAGGATTGTTCATATCTCTTGATGAAATGCTGTTTGCGGATTACTCCATTATTAAATAGTCTTTGTTAGGACTTTTTTGATAATCCAGAATTTGTCTTTTTGAGAGTATAACAATCATACTATTATTATCAGAATATATGGAGTTTTGCAAGCTGCGTGTAATGCTATTCACTGTAGATGAAGATTTCTGTCAGTGGTGAACCTTCTGAGGGCGGATTTTCTGACATTTCATTAGGTTAGCCTCTGCGATTAGGTTAATATTTACGTTTGCTTTCGTATCACTTCAGAAATCCAAATTGAGATATTGTGATTCTAACTTCTATTTGGTCTGAAGATATTTTCTTTAAAAAATCACAAAACTTCTAATATATTTAGAAAGGTGCCTTTCTACGATTTACTACTGTATATCCAATATACATGTACACTCTTCTCACAAATATGGAATATTTGATTTTAGTTTTTTGTCTTCCTCGTCATCAATTATCTTCAAAAAGATTGTGTCATTTTCTGTTAAGATACAACAGTAGAACATTAATCTTATAGTATGGAACTTTTTTTTTAAAAATAAACTGCAAGAATCTTTAAAAATATATTAATTCCCATAAGTATGAGTAACAGTGTATTTTGCTGTCTGTTCATAACATGCATAATGAAATGTTTTAATATTGCTATTTTTATCAGACTGCCATACATCAATGTTTCATTCATGATTTTCAATATGTTAAACTCAACTGATCATTAACAACACAGTAGTTCCAAATTTTAGAAGTGCAAATGTAGTGAATCTTATTCATGAAGAAGTCTAGGAATACCTCACTCTTTGAAAATGGGGAATTGATATACAATTCTCGGTAAGGACATAAAATCCTATGTTGGTTTATTAAACTCAACTAGCATGCCATCTTTTGGCGATTATTGATTTTGACAGACTATATTTGATGGAACTGAAGCATGAGAATTGAAGTCTTTTTATTAAATTTGATCAAACTGTCCTTGGGATTACCCATATATATTGATGCTATCACAAAATGTATTTTTAGATTACTTTTCAGAATGTCCCTTTATTTTTTCCTAAAAAGGTGTCAGAACATTTAGGTTTTCTAGGTTTTTCTTCTAAAAATAGCTTGCTCCCAATAGTAGACAAATCACCAGTTGACATCCCATCAGATCAAGGTTCTTACATAAGGTACATATAAGAGGTACATGTACAATAAAAAACGTCTCTGGGTGATGTTGATGTTGGGTGCCTACTTCCATTAACTTTTGAGGTATCATAATGTTCATGGTGTTTTTCAGTTGATTCTGTGCAATCATAATTTATATAGCATATTACATACTAGTATTGCTTTTCTTTTTTATATTATTACATGTATATTTATGTTACTCTTCGTCAGCTTTCTCATTTTATCTTCTGGAGAATAATATCAATGTCTCAACCCTTTAATATAGAATATTCCTACTTTTTGTAAAAGAATGGTCATCTTATGCATCATATGGAAGGTGGATGGAAATATTGAATGTTGAATCTCTTGAAATGGAGAATTTTGATGGATTACCAATTTGAAAAAGGGAAGGGGCGTTACTTCTGGTATGGTATTTATAACAAGGCAAAGTATCTAAGTGAAAGTTTCTCTGTAATAACATTGAATTTTTGTTATACATGTTTATCATTTCTTGCAAGGGAAGATATCTGATATTGTGTGATAAACTGGAACTGAAGTCTTGTTATTAACCTTAGTTATCTCACACTCCACCAGGTGGAGGCATCAGTTCCTCTCCACATACATTACAAGGGGACCTGTCATTTAGTCCAAAGACAAGCTTGCTAGGTGAAATGAAATCAATAAGCCATGTAAGATCAATATTAGAAGCATGCATATAGATAAGGTGGGTGTTCCTTCCAGTTAATGGCAGTTATCCCTTTTAATTATCACTCGATCACTTAAAATCAGAATAACTTCATGTTTTTCCATATACGTTCAAACAATCAAGATTTCTTTAAATTGTCTATACACGTAATGCGCTAGTTAAAAAAACATAGTAAATGATGGTTTTTTATATATATCAAAGCGATGAAATTCATGAAATTCAGTGAAAGGACACGCAAATCAATAACGCATTAGGTTTGTATTGATTGGTTACAAATTAAACGCAGAACATATGATCCATCCCTTGTAAGCTACGGCTGCAACCATGTTGAATTTGCAACAACTCCTCTGAGTGAACATGATTATATTAAACTAAGATTTTGCGGTTTTCTTTGAAATATCCAAAGTGTTTCAAACGGGATTACGCAACATGGATTACCTGTATTTTTGTGAGTATTTTAGTATTTTTTCAGCATGTTAAATAAGTGTTTTGAGGAAATATCTGATAAAAACTAGCTATGTGCATATATTATTTCTAGTATAGCTCAGCTTTAGGCTAAGGCAGTCTAACATTTCAATCTCATAAGGATATTGGCTATAGTCTCAATGTAAAATCAAATAGGCAAGAGCATCATTAGTGGTCATATGGAAGGAAAATGGAGAATGTTAGTAACTGAGGTTGAGCTAGAAATAGTCACTTTCTTCATCCCTATAGTATGATAGAGCAGTGGTCACTTCGTCCCAGTCCCAGCTTCTGCTGCGTTTTTAAACTCAACATGATACATTCCCTATAGTCCTAATTACACTGTATGTCATCCTACCAGTAGATGTGTTGAGAGAGATGTTACATTAATTGTACAGTACATCTTGTCTGAGCTATGAGAAAGTACAAGGGGCAACATTTAACATTGGCATTAAGGCAGAATAAAATCTAAGGTTTCATAAATCATAGAATCGTTGATATCGATCTCATATGATAGACCAGAATATCAAATTTTTCTAGTTATGTAAATCTAGTTATTGTGACATCACATATCATATTAAAATGTACTTCATATGTATATGCATGAATATATGGTCTCCTATTAAAAAAATATAACAGTAGGTAAACAATTTTTACAGTTGACCTTAGAACATGTCAATGACAAAACACTTAAAAGCATTAGAATATGATTTCAAATTATCTTTCCCAAGAAATCTGTTATTATTTTAATTCATTTACATATATACCATGATTTTTTGCCAAGCAGCTGGAGAATTTGTAAATCTGATTAGAATATTTGTAAAGTCAACATGTAGCATATCGATCAAATCTTTCTATGCCTGTTATTATTGCTTGATAAGATGCAATAATCAATACATTGCTATGTAGTAATTTCTTATTTATCTATCTTCTTGCCCTTGCAAATATATCTATTGCACCTTCAAAAAGATATAGCCCAACCCTTGCAAATAAGATCTGCTTGTGTCAGATTCAGTGACTTAACTGTGTTTTATATTGTAAGGTACTGTTTTGTAGACTTTACAATGACATTTATGAGTTTCAGTGAATGGTGTCAATGGGCACGATGGGTTATTTGTAAGGTTATTTAATTGACTGTTATATAAGTGATGAATTGTGCAATGGTGGAAGGTTTCTGAAGGATTTATTGCCTTAATTTTTTTTATACGTCACTGCTTATTGTTATTGATCCGAAGATTTCAATTAACAATAAACATCAAATAGATTTATTTGAAAGAGGTTTATGTTCATTATAAGCTTCATAAAGGGATGGTGCCCCTAATATCAGCCACAGTTATTAAAACACATATGATAGTAGAATAATGCTGTATAGGGTATACAGAATAATTCCCCATCTAAGATTCTAATAAACTGATATTCTGGGTGTTCATTATAATTTAGAGAAAACCATGTCTGTCTGTTAACAGATTCGTTATTTTCTCATTCCAAAACCATTCATTTTCAGCTTTTTATGTAAAATCAATCTTGATAAAAAAAAGATGAAAAATGACACTACAATGACATTTGTAAGTAGGAATGTTTACCTGTAGACACAGTTATAGTGGGATGTAATAATATTTCATTCTTATGAGCATTTACTAACAAGTTCACCTATAGTCAGCTTACCCTAACAAGAATAGAGACTGGATTATGGTGAATTATTCATTATAATGGTATTTTCATTAAGCGTGTGAATGATAAATCTAATGTGTTCATCTAGGTTTATGAAGTCGTATAATATTACTGCATTCGATTTTATAAATCAATAATTGATATATATGAAACAGTGGAGCTTGATGTTATGTAAAGTTCATCCTTAGATCAGTGTTTGTTTTTTATGTATTTTAATGTGTTTTTCTATGTTTTGTATTGTTTGATATCATATATCATAGCAACCTCATAAATATATAGGGTGGGCCAAAAACTGGGAAAGTTATATCAATTTAAGAATACAGTAGGATTTATGAGTATGTAACAATTGTATGGCTTACTTGTATGGGTTTGGTGTAGATAATACCTGGGAATTTATGTCATATCGGGATAAATTCTATTTTCCTGCTCAAGTTATGGAGTAGGCAGATTTCTTGTTCCCATCCCTGTCTTTGGAATTGCAACAGCTCATCTCATCAAGTGAAAATTGGAAAAATGATGAAAGGGTTTATAACAACCAGCAACTTATATATTGTCTGTGTTTTTCAGGTGGGATGAACCAATATAGTGACAGTATGATGGGCTCCTACTCCCGACCTCCCATGCCTCCATACTCTCACAATGACCCCACACAAATGGTAAGTATCAGTCTAGCCTTGGAGAATGTTTCACGGATCATTGTTAAAATCTATCAATATTAATTACTTATTATAAACACACAAATAATAAGTCATAAGTTATGAAAAGATTGCATCATTCATTCACATGGACATTATTTTCAATACATGTACAATAAAATGATGACATCAGTAGTAATACATGTACAATAAAATGATGATATCAGTAGTAATACATGTACAATAAAATGATGACATCAGTAGTAATACATGTACAATAAAATGATGATATTAGTAGCAATACATGTACAATAAAATGATGATATCAGTAGTTATACATGTATAATAAAATGATGATATCAGTAGTCATACATGTACAATAAAATGATGATATCAGTAGTCATACATGTACAATAAAATGATGATATCAGTAGTCATACATGTACAATAAAATGATGATATCAGTAGTCATACATGTACAATAAAATGATGATATCAGTAGTCATACATGTACAATAAAATGATGATATCAGTAGTCATACATGTACAATAAAATGATGATATCAGTAGTAATACATGTACAATAAAATGATGATATCGGTAGTAATACATGTACAATAAAATTATGATATTGGTAGCAATACAAGTACAATAAAATGATGATATCGGTAGCAATACATGTACAATGAAATGATGATATCAGTAGTCATACATGTACAATAAAATGATGATATCAGTAGTCATACATGAACAATAAAATGTTGATATCGGTAATAATACATGTACAATAAAATGATGATATCAGTAGTAATACATGTACAATAAAATGATGATATCAGTAGTCCAAGGATAGAATGTTCTTAAGAGAACATATCTCACTTCCATAAACTGGCTATAAAAAGGCTTACCCTCTTAACCATAAAATGTCAGACTTATTTTTATCTACAAGATTCATAATTTTAGAGAAAGAGAGTTCAGGAACACTTGGAATATGGGAAACCTGACATTTAAATCCTTCCTTGCTATTTTTTTGTCAGCTTTGAACACTTTGTGGTGAAGCCTCTTCTTTTAAAATGTCCATTTCATCTGAGTTTATGGAATACTGAAATTGGGCATTTTGAGAGCATAGTATGATAATAATGAGCATTTTCACAGTTTTCTATTAGTTCATTTCTCATAATTTTTGCAAGACAGAGATGGTCTGGGTATGTGACAGGCCTCATAATTCTGTGACAGGGCCTCACATTCTGTGACAGGGCCTCACATTCTGTGACCTCATAATTTTCTGACAGGGCCTCATAATTCTGTGACAGGGCCTCATAATTCAGAGATGGAGCCTCATTATTCATAGCCATTGTACTGACATCACTTGACTATCTGTGCCTCTGGCTTCTCTTGATCTTCAACCTCATTTCAAGTCTCCATCAGCAGGCTGTTTCTTGCACCTAGTTGGTGCCCTGATCGTGCTTTTTACATCTCTTTCAACACACCCATTACCATCCAAAGATATGTGGAATTTATACTGAATTTAGAGTTTAGAGTGGCTGTTTATTTTATTCCTTGCAATTTACTAATTCTCCACTGTATGTGAGATTCTAAAACATAACCACTAAAAGATGTTATCAACAGGAAGGTGCTATTTATGTCAGAGTGCCATGGGGTTGAGAACTTTGAGATAAAAATCTGTTGAGGTTTCATTGTAGGGTTGAGGAGTGGAGAATTATCTTCCCTGGTATCATTATATCAAACCAACCTTCCAATGAGAATATGTTTGTTGCAATTTCCCATTTTTTCTTCCCCTTTCTGCTTCATGTTTAATTGTTTCGGTTTCTTTCACATTTGGGTGGACTTTCTCATTTCCCTTATAGACTTCATGAGTTCTCTGTTACATAATAGACTCTTGTGTTTAGCATAAGATCTCAGTTTTAATCTGCAAGAGTTGGGCTTATCCATTTACTGATTATCTATGGTAATTTGGGTTGGGTTTTCCCTAATCACCCAATTACTTTGACAGCAGAGAATCTCTATTTTTATTCAACCGGGATATTCATGCTCTGTTCTACAGTTATTTAGCACAGCGTACAACATTTATTTATACATCATACTTATATATTCTATAGTGGGACCTGTATACTATACAATAAAAGGACCTTTATTAACGATACTTTTGGTTTTCAACTTTTCATGTCACCGCTAGAAGTTGTATCTAGTCTCCAGTTTTTTATGGACGGAGTTTGGCATTCGATGGTCAGCATTTGGAGTTTGGCATCTGCAACGATTTGCAATAACTTACAAATGTGGTGACATTTTGTCATGGTAATGCCTTGTTCTTCTTAGTATAGTTATATATTTTGGCATGCATGTTGAACGTTACGATTATTTTTTCCACGAAATTGTTGTTTACTGAAATTTTGAACTCATCCAGCTGGGTTGGGGTGAAACAAAGTTTGTGTTAATTAACACAATTCGTGAAGTACACCTTGAAATTTTGACAATTTTTGTCCAAATGATGGTTCAGCAAGTTGACATGTTAAACCTGACTTCCTATGAAGGAGGGCTCAGGAGGTGAGAAAGAGTAATAGATCATGCTCAATGACAAAAAAACTATTTTATCAATAAATTATTTATATCATCAGTTTTTGTATGTAAAGACTTGGAAGAGAAGTTCATTAACAGATTCTGATTGGAATCTTTCTTGGAATCTTCCAAAATATATACATAAAGGTTATACACCATGTATGGGTGCAGTGTTTATTTTCAGTAAATGAATAACAAACAAAAAGCTGGTTATATGATATGAACTTTCATATGGAATTCATAAGTCCAGTGAATTGTAACATATATAGATATCTTTGATGTTAAGTTCATAACTATTTGATTTTGATTGATCAGTCAAAGAAAGCCAATTTTGGACTCCTGCTTTCTCTATTTTGGGTTCCATAGCCCCAATCTCTGGAAGAGAATTAGGTCTCTTAGAGGAACTCTGGTAAGTCTGAATGTGGTCCCTCCCATATAGTGTATCTAGTATTCAGTCGCGTAAAAGTAACAAGTTAATGTAAAGATGTAAAACATTTTGGCACGTTTTTTGGGTTGATGTGTATTATGGGTTGATGTGTATTATAGTTTTCTTCAGCAATATTTACACAGTCATGTGAATCAAATTTGCTATGAATGGTTAAGCACAAAGTTGGGGGACAGGCCGGAGGGTCAGATTGAAATGAATAAATCACATCATCTCACCATGGGGAGATAAGACTAGGAGTGAATGTAATATGAATGATGACGTCGCATCTGCATTTATCATATTCTATAGATGCATATATATTTTCTACGGAAGTATTAGAAGCAATCTCATTAGAGTAAGATTAATTATGCTGAGTATTCCTTTTAATGAGTTATATGGGCAATATGGCAGGCAGATATTCAGCATGGAATGGTAAGATCTGAGCAATGAACAAACTGAACAGGACATATTTACTCAGAGAAATATATGTAGATATGCTTCATTGAGATTTCAGAGGAAAGCTGTGGTATATGAATGGTTATGGTGATATTTTATGCGTAGGCCTCACTTCTCATATACGTTGGCATATTCTGTCATTAGAGATTTCATTTCTTGTCATTTAGCTACGGACTTATGTTTTATTTGCTTTGTAGCATTAAGCCAAGCAATCAGGATTTCTGGTTACCATAGCAACACGACTTAGCCTTCCTGGGATTGAAGAAATCAATCGATCACAATTCTCCACCTTGACAAGTAATGTCAGATACAATTGGACTTTCTTGTTACAAATCTGATATGAAATTACATCTGACTATTCAGAATATTAAAATGTCTTCTATCAACCCTCCCACTTAATCCTGAATAAGCAGCAAGTTCTTCTCCCTTTATATATTCACATGATATGTCCTTGTAAAACCTTCTTCAATCTCTTCTCAAGCCAACATGCCAATAGTGGTATTAATACATCAGTTGGTATTTCAAGAAAGGGAAAATTCACTCTGTCCTGCTTGTTCTACTGATTTCTCAATTAACATCAACAGGCATTCTCATTTTCTAACATTTCTATATAATATTGTGTATTGGTATATGCTTGGATATTTTAATACTTGCTATTTCCTCTCTGTTTCATTATATTTTACATTTTAACACATGATGACCATTTGACAATTTATTCTTAGGAACTCTTGGTGAAAGTGTGGTTATTGATTTTCCTCTCTAGGAGGATAACAGTGAAATTGAATTTGCCCATAGAGGTGACCCAACCTGTAATATTACTGCTTCTCTCTCACTATCTCTCTCTCTCTCGCTATCTCCTCGCTCCCTCTATAATATATTTCTACCCTATATCGATCATGCATAATTTACACCATGTTACTCATAATCCCACTTACTAAGACTGATGTTCAATTTGTCACCCTTTTTTGCATCTGACATTTATTGATTACACTCATGTATATTATTTATGTGATACGCTTACAAGCATCTTGACTTCCATATATATATGATATTATTTGATATAAAATATATAGATGACTTAAGATGCAATGCTAGTCTATTACTCAAATTTCCTTGGGTAAAACCAATCAATGCAGGAAGGTTTTTGTGGCCCTTAAAATTGTAAATCACATTAGATCCTAGGACTATTGATTGATGGAAAATAAGGATTGTGCATTAGTCAATTTGATCATATTTCCCAAGCTTAAAAGCTTTGAATTCCCACCACCCTTGGATGGCCTAGATAATGTTCCAGGTTGAGGATAGGTATTTTTAGATGTACATCTTAGGGTTTCGACCTCACCAAGAAGCTTAGTATGAAAATGTAATAGTTAAGTAAGTATATGGTCTGAGTATAAACTGTGAAGATGGGTGGTTGTTATAGCAACCGCTTCAGCAACATAGTTCCATGGTTTGATGGCATCTTGCCAGAGTTTGTATATGTGTTGCTATTCCTTTCCACAAGTAAGGAGTACAGGCAGATATTAGTAAAAAGAGACCTTCAACATGTAAAACCACATCATCCTATGTAGGCCATAATCCCTTGCATTGGATTCTTACATGATAAGTATTGTTGTGATAAGATAGCAACCTGTAAGGGCTGCAAAGTACTTTCATTTTGCATTGCATTTTCTATTCTCACTTGCTTTACTCATAGTTTACAATTGTATGATAGCAATTCTGAAGTAAAACTTAAATTGTAAATGATACTAAATATTCCGGTATATTTTTCTGTTATTTCTCATAGAGACCGTTTTTAATAATTTCATATTAAAAGAGATTTTGTCAGTTCTTACATGTATGCTCTTAAAGATTTGTAATGAATGACACTGAATTGAAGAAGAAACAATAACAATCGTTCACCAATTTGGTGTTCATGTATGTTAATGTAAAAAGTTTATATTATTTTTAATTTACCATTTGTATATAAAATAGGTCAGATAAAGAAAACAGTGATACTTTGTCAGTTGATTATTTGAGTGTTTACAAACATGAAGATGTTCTTCAAGGACATGAGGTTATAAAGGACAGAGATATTTTAATGTAACTGTTTACTACTAATAATTCTTTATTGATTTTTGAGATTTTTTCTTGTGTAAGAAAGCTTGATGTTAGACTTGTGTATGGGAGAGAGAATATTGGGAGGGGTTTCGATTAAGCAAGCCAAAAAACAGATCTTAATTTCATGGTTTATTTACAGTTGAAATGTTCTTCATCCTTGTGTTTTGGAGAGATCTATATTTAGTCACACACTGCTATGTTATGATTTCCCCAACTGAGGTGATATTTGCCCCACGAATACAGGGCCAAGAACCATTACAACCTAAGCCAAAAATAACCTCTGAGATATTTCCAGAGAAACTGTTCAATGTTAACCAGCATGATGAATTATTCTGGAGAATCATTGATAAATAATTCAACTGTATTATAATTCAATTGATAATGCAAACATAGACATATGCTACATGCACATTTAATTTGCAAATATTGTACATAGAGACAACGGCTGGTTCATCTTCTTGTAAAACATAGGATGTACCATTAGTGTTTTAATATGGAGCTTGTGGATATACCACAGAACACCTAGTTCCATCTATAAAACATTCTAAGTCTAAAGTGTACAAAGTTTAATTATGTTCGGTCAATTGATCACAAAATGTATGCAACTGTGAAGCTTTCTCAGTCTAAATCCAAACTAAAATTCATTTTTATTTTGTGATGTTTATTTAATGAAATTGTTGTGTGTGTTCCAGGGTGCTATGGGCTCTATGGGTTCTATGGGGATGTCAGGGTATGGGAGCCAGGCTGACCTCTACTCCGGGCAGGCACATGCTCCACCTATGATGCATCAGCCATCTTACAGCAGTGCCAGCAGCATGTATATGAACCAGACCATGTCTTCGCCACCATACAGTACAGCAGCACATCAGGGCTACACACCCCCAGCCTACCCCATGCCAACGTATAACAGCCCTACAGGTCATATGGGTACAGAGAGTTCGCTGTATCATGCAGGGCCCACTGCCCTCCCTCCTCCCCCTATGAGGCCCCCACCCTCACCTGCCACTGATAGCTTCCTGCAACATATGGGCTCTTCCTCCCATTCATACCCCAGTATGCAGCCTCAACCCATGGGGGCACCTACATATGATAAATACAGGGACATGAGACTAGGAGTGCCCCCTATCCCTCAGTCACCACACCACATACAAAGCAGCCCCTCACACTTAAATTCTATGAGACAGAGCAATCACTTTGCATACCCAGGTCAGACTCCCCCTGGCCCCACATACCCAAGTCATACCAGGACCTCTCCCATAAGTCCTATGATTCGTAGCCCTGCCTCTGTGCATAGCAACCACAGTGTACCCAGTGTGCCAACAGACAGTTCGATGCCACCTAAAAATATGGATACTTTGACGAGCCCTATATCTGCATCGGTTAAGTCCCCAGGGTCGGTGGCCTCACCGGCTCATTCAATGGGGGCTATGGGTTCCCCAAACCCTCCTCGGCAGTCCCCAGCACAGCAGCCTACCAGCTCACCTGCCCATCCTGCCTTCCCCCCTCAAGGTCAGGGTCACACACCAATGGCTTCCCCCGCACACAGCGGCCACTACTCACCACAGAATAGCTACAGTAGTGGTCACTCACAACAACATAACTCACCGTATCAACAACAGCATAGTTCACCATACCAACAACAACAGAACACACCGCAACAGCCTAGCACTCCTCAGCAACAGATTCAACAGCAACAACAACAACAACAACAACAGCAACAGCAGCAGCAACAGCAGCATCAGCAGCAACAGCAGCAACAATCACAACATCAAAACTATCTGCCACAATCCCCTGGGGGATTCAATAACCAATCAAACCCTAGCACCCCCCTCAACAACTGTGCTGACCCCCTCATGTCCCTTCAAAAGCTTGCGATGCTTCCAGATAGCAAAGTTGTTGACCCCAAAAGTGTGGTTCATAAAGGAGACCACCCTGATTCAGAGGAAATGAAAAATGAGGTGCCAAAAAACTGGGAGCTCTCTGGTGGTGACCTTGGGAATTATATGGGAAGTGAGACATGTAATCCTACCACCAGTGTACCAAATGTAACTCCTTTGCCTAGCATGCCACTCACAGACACATTACACAGTCAGATGTCATACCATTCAGATATGCAGCATCAGGGCCATCAAAGCAAACCAGAAGATAATCCTATTCAGGACCTGCCAAACCTGAACATGGATAATGAGCAACAAAATGTGCCATCCACTAACCCCACTGATATTTTTGACTTTGATAGCAAAAGTGAAGATATGGATTCAAGCAATATGACTATGAACACTAATTCACATACAGACTTTATGACTCAATATAGTGAGCATAATCAGATGCCAATGCAGGATTTTCCTAATTACCCCCCTCCCCTTCCAGTGCTGGTAGACCCCCAGGCGCCACCCATCAAAATACGAAAGAAACCTGGCCCAAAACCAGGTTCAAAACGGAAGAAACCAGAACTAGTGTATGATGCACAGGGCAACCTAATGCCACCTCCACCTAAAAAGTCTCGCAAACGTAAGTCATCAGGACCCGAATCTGAAAAGGACATTCATATAAGAACTACCATAGATGATGTGATTGAACAAGGCCTTGCTGGGGGTCTAACTGAGCCTGATATATCTGATTACCCTAAAAGACAATACCTCAAAGACCCTCTCAATGACCAAAAAGATCCCCCTGATAACCTGAAAGACCTCACTTTTAATGAGGAGGACATTAATGCCATGGGACTCAGTAAAAGCCCAACACTTGATACGAGCTTCAGTAGTGAGACTTCCAAAACAACTGAGCCATCTTTTAATTCATCATTAAGTGACTCACATGCTATTGAAACCCCAAGCCCTAAACCCACAAGCAGGAAAAACTCCTTAGAAAATGATGGCTCAGTATATGACATGGACAATATAGATGAGACACCATCATTCACTAGTCTCAAGGAAGGGCACAAGTCTCCAGCTAAGCTATTGAATAATGAAACACCCAAACTTGTGAATGGTATTGAACACTCTGAAAGTGAGGGTGACACACCTAATAAACCTACAGACACTCAAAAGGAGGATTGCCCACCTGAGCCCGAAGACGAGGACACAAAACATGAGCATAATCTCCCAAATGGAGATATAGTAGATGAATTGAACAATATTATAACTGAGAAAACAACTAAAAGGAAATATAACCATGCAAAGTATTATGCAAAGACTGATGATAATGTGGATGGGGAACATCCTGTTCACTCGCATTCTTTAAGAGATCGTAAAAATGCCCTTGCGTCACGACTCAGTGATTACGACTATGAGGATGATCTGGATTCAGACTTTACAGTTAGTCCAACCAAGCGTAAGAAAACATATTCCAAAGATTTCTTACCAAGATTATCTAATTTCAAAGAGGCTTCAAAAGAGGCTTGGGCCGAAATCAAAGGAGGAACAAATATGAAAGTAAATCAGGTTTTGGATGTGCTTATGGTGAAAGATGATCCTTCAAATCATAAGCCAAATCCTGGGAATATTAAAAAAGAGACAGAAAATGACACTCTGAATGAAAAGAAAATTGTAGATAAAAAATTGTACAGTGATAGCAATGGGACTGGTATAGAAATCAGTAGTTGTACTGATGATGAAAATATTAAAAGTGAAAAGCCAGATGAAGAAAGCGAATCTATTAAAGACACTTCTACTGCACTGAAAGTCAATGACAGTGAAAATAAAGATATTAATGAAGTAGAAAATATTTTTAAAAAACCTAATACCCAAAGTTCTCCCGCACGAAAAAAAGTTTTGAAAGAGACTTATAGTGCCAAGGGCAAACGAATCGGCCGTCCACCAGGAAGTAAAACGAACCCGGAGAATAAAACGAAAAAACCTGCAAGTGCAAATAATAAAAAACGAAGGAAAAAGAAAGAAATGGATCCATTTGAGTTGAACACAGACAATGAGCTCAATGCACTGAATTTAGGTAAAACTGTTGATTTAGTGCAAAGTGGTAAAAAACATAAGAAAAAGTCAGTTATTAACCATCAGGGACCAGTGATAAGGCCAGAAGGACCAAAAGAGAACCCAACTGGATATAAGGTTGTCAACTCCCCCTTGGAAGAGAATGACCAGGGGAAGAACAAAAAGCAAGCATCAGTAGCATTGAACAAAGTACAGGGGCTCAGACTCCAAACATCAGCCGTTTGCCCATCTAAAGGTGACTGTGACAATAACAAACCCTGGGTCTGTGCATTATGTGGAAAGGGCAGCAATCACAAACATTTAGGTGATCTTTATGGGCCATACATCCCAGATGCTAAAGATGACCCATTGACTCCCTCCAAGAAGAAAAATAGCCCTGAAGGAAAGGATAAAGACTCTTCCCGTAAACGGAGGAAATCTTCGGCTAAAAGCTGCGAGGCAGAATTAGGAGAGGTGTGGATGCATGAAGACTGCGTTGTGTGGACGCATGGCGTCTATCTTGTTGGCTCCAGGATACATGGTATAGAGGATGCCGTCAAGATATCCAGGGAAACGGTGAGTTGATACGTTTGTCCTCTAAATAGGTTTGTAAATGTAGCATATGTGCTTCATGTGTTTATGAATCATCAGATGTTTTCTATGGTATTTGTATGTTGATTTGAAAAGATTTAACAGTATGTTGATTTGAAAACATTAACAGTATGTCACTAATTTTAATAGCCATAAATGTTATTTTTGTCATAATAATAAATGATATCTATTTGTTGTTATAATTATTAGCCTTCATGGATGAGGTGGCCCATAATTGACTTTCGAGTGTAAACCCATAATGTCCCATATTATGGGACCACTGACCAGAAAATGTTATGCATGGTTTGTGTTTATGTTCAGAGTGTACATGTATATCCAAATGTTCAGGAATGGACATTGTAATTAAAACACCAGATTTTTTTTAATCTTCAACTTGGCTTAATTGATGTAACTTGATAATATCAGAAATGCTTATTAGATTCAACTTTAGTAATTAGATAGTCAAATGGTTATTTCTTCAAAATTTTAAACTTTTTATGAAACATGGGAACATAGAGAAGTGTCGCTCTCATGCAATGTTACTTTTTGGTATAACTGCCATTAAAATTGTGAAACATCACAATTTTATGTTCTGATTGTTGAGAATAGATTGATTGTTTATTTTTCTATTATTTTGCAATTGTTTCAATGCTTCAGTGAGTAACAAACTAATTGATGTAATGTATGTTTGATTATGATTAAGAAAGATTAATTATCAGTATGTTTTCACACATGTAGCTACAGTTTATGAATCTATCAAATTCACTTCAATGTACAGACCTTGTCCAAAAGGCACTGAAATGTAAAGTGCGTGTACATGTAATTATTAAAATCGTGCAATTAAAATTGTATGAATTAACTAGCCTACATTTTATTTCTCATTTACGTACATAAGTTGAATGAAATATACTAGTTTTCAATTAACGTATATGTTATTGCGTCAAATCCATAACTTTTTTATTACACTGAAAACTTTTTATCACACTGAAAAAGTTCATTTAAGTAAGCTAAACCACAATTTTTGTAACTACAAATAACCAACAAAACATAAGATATACATTAAATAGTAACGCCTTGTAGTGAGGACGATCGATGACCGTGTTTATTAGCAATAACACGCCTCTGATAAACCTCATTGGTTATGGAACCGCCACTGCGCAAAGCTAAAAATCAATGAACCATGAAACATTCTCTCAATACAAACCCCCCTTACAACCTAGTATGCATAAAACCAAAAATCTTGTCTCCCGCAAATCTTAAAGTAATTTTCTCACTAATTCGTACCTCAAACGTTAAAAAATTATATGATTGATACATATTTTATTTTTTGAGCTTCAATTTTTTATAATTGAGCTGTCCGTATATAATTCTATATTTATTATAAAAGATAATTCAAGTGATCTACAAAAAGGACAAGTAGAAATTCATAGGTTGTAACATCCTCCAAATGCAGTGCTCCAGGCATGATATCAGATGAAGTAAGGAACTCTGTGGATGAGGTTTGAAGCCTTGCATCTGGAGAATGAGCCTATGCATGGAGTACAACATTTACATGTTCAACATGACTCAGATCTTGACAAATCAATAGATTTATGTCAGTTAGGCAAAGCTCAGATGTTTGCCTTTTAGCCATGTTGTTGTTGTTATGTTTGACATTTAGTTAAGGTAAATACTTTACTCATCTGGCATATTCCAGAAAATGCCAGGAAAAGACTGGCAAATGCTTCTACTTAATGGTTTCTTTGAGTATTTCGTACTTTGCAATTCATTAGCGTGGGAAGCAGCATTTGCTATAAGATTCATTTGGATGAAAACATCACATATTCATGAATATATTGAAGCAGGTCATGGTTGCTGTTGGACTCTACACCTTAAACACCAATTGAACCATTTAACACATGTATATTGTATAGATCTGACCCTTTTTGACAAGACAGTCAAATAATATGTAGAACAGAATGTATTTAATCATTGCCTTCATGTGTTTCAGGTGTGCTCTGGGTGCAAGACTGCAGGTGCAACATTGGGCTGCTATACTAAAGCATGTGCGCAGAAGTACCATTACCTATGTGCAGTAGAGAATGGTACGTAGATGCTACTGTTTGCAAGGGTGCCATTAAGACCCATTATACAGTCAGGTTAAAGTATCATTGCTTAAGAGGGGCCATGCCACATTGTTACAAAGTTAGACCACAGTTATTCTAGCAGTATACCCAAGTCATCAGTTTTAGTTTTACATGTTCTTAAATTGCAAATGGTAATAACTTAACTTGAATTTTTGTTTTATTTGATATGGTAATTTATTCAACATCAAACTAGAAAACACAATATTGAAATGCGAAGCATTCCCCCCCCCCAGGATCAATGAAATGTGAATTCTCATTTATATTTTAAAGTTTGCAAAATTCGTATAGGCCTAAATATGATTTTTTCATGATCAATTGATGTTCCAAATCCTCTAATGAATGCAAACTACAAATATACATATACATAAGGTAATTTCAGATTCTCTGAGCTCAGCATCCAGTTGTTTCAATGTTGGAGAGATTACTGATCTCTGGTTAACCTAACATTGTTTGAATTAATTGAAAATGGTTCAGAAAGTCAAATTGACACAGACAAAATAACACATCTATTACTGGTAAATAGGTTTCACTTTCCTGTCTTACAATGGTTTCATTCAGTTTATTCACCCTTTACAATTAAGGCTCAGACATTTTGTATACATATGGTCATCTGAACATGTGATGTAAATTCAATGAATATACTTACAGACAAAATGTTTATTTCAGATTGCTTATTTGATGAGGAGAATTACTCGATGTTCTGCCCAAAACATAAAGTAAGTGCTGACATCTTTTATCAAGAGAAAAGTTTAAATCCACCTGTTGATTGGACATGATAGTGGATTTAGCCATTTTATGTCAACACCACTTGGTGACATATTGTTATAGTCTCCAACTTGATGGTGATGGTGTTTGACAGTTGGCATTTGCCAGTCAGTGGTCTGTGATCGGCATTTGGCATCTGTAATAAATGGCAGGTAGTGACATTTTGCATGTTAATGCCTTGTTTCTGAGATGTCGTGAAGTAATCAGATGTGGTTTTATTCAAAATGAAAGATATATATTCAGTAATGAGTTTACCAACAATTGCAGGCCTTATTGTTTATGTATCTACCTTGAATGTATTTATTTATTATTTATTTTATTTTCCAGGACAAGAAAATCAAGATGGTTGGTGAAAATGTGCCTTCAGTTTAACACAGTGGGTATAGAACTGAGGATAATTCTGTTCAACCGAGGATGTCTAACAAACAGCAGAGGACATCTATATTAAACACATCGGGGATACTCATATGTACATTCATTGAGGATACTCATATGTACATTCATTGAGGATACTCATATGTACATTCATTGAGGATACTCATATGTACATTCATTGAGGATACTCACATGTACATTCATTGAGGATACTCATATGTACATTCATTGAGGATACTCATGTATGTACAGAAACTAAGAATAAATGTACAGAGAAAACCTGTAAAAATTAGCTTTTATACCCAGTATGGTTTTATAGTGATGTTTCATAGTAATATACAGATATCTTTACTTTTGAAAAAAGCTGTATGATATGGGAATAGAGGGATGCACCATAAAAATGTAGCATTTACTACATCTGGTAATACTGCATGTGTATAAGTTACTTTTAAAATGGTATGAAAGTCATATTGATTTAAATCTGTTATTTTTGGTCTAATGGGAACTTTGGACAGTGTGACAAAAGATGACAAAAACCTTAAGACAAGACAGATGGAGACATTAATGATATTAATTGAGTTTGTATGATATTTGACTTATAAGTTTCCATGTTCCACTATAGAGAGACTTTGGTGAATATTCGCCATTGTTTGGGGCTTGTAAGATCAATTCCTTGGGATGCCATTTTACAAAAATTTCATCCATGCAAGTTATGTTAACAAATCAGTCAAAAGCATGGATCCCAAAAATGACTCAATTTTAGGTGGCTCTCCATTTATTTACATGTGCCAATTTTCTTATTGGCCATATTTTTTTGCAGCTTTGTACGAGACTATAACAAGATACAACTCACAAAAAAAATTATCAATTAATTGTTAAGTTTAGTAAAACTTTAATGACATTTTGTAATCAATGAATTACAATCATTTATGAATCAATTAATTAATTTTTATTGCGTAATATCCACTGATTTTTTTTGCCATATGAACAGCTAACAGCCAAATTGTTGATATTGCTTTTGTTGTCAAATACTATACAATTACTTATCATTACGTATTGTATAATGTGTAGGATTATTACAATAATATTGTACATGTATAGGGCTACCAGGGTGGATCTGGAAAATCACAAGGGGAGGGGGAGAAAGGATCCTTCTTAAAAAATAAGACCTATTTTTGAAAATGAGTCCTAAAAAGTTGAAACCCTTAAAGTCCGCCAGTGATTACAATGTCATAGGTTCATACACTCTTAGTTAAGGTTAAATATTGTTTCTATATAGTCTTGTTGCTATCAATTGGTAACCTTTTTTGATGAAAAAACATGCATTATGATTCATGATTTGATTTATTTTACAATGTCGCCATGGTAAAACTATACCATTGAAATTCAGAAATGGCAATTTATGATTTTTTTAATGAATCATTCTCCAGGCATGTTTTAATGATTCAACAGAGCTGTCAGGAGGATTGTTCTAAATTTATTTTGAAATAAAGCAGCATTTTGAAAGGATGTCTTCCTTAATGATAATTGATAATTATTGAAAGCAGGAGAGAAACCTGCAACCTGCACTAGTTATCCCACTGAGTGAAGTTCAGAAAAATCAAAGACTTTTTTACTGCCTTTGTAATTTGATTTCCAGCATTTAATGGACAAAAATTAGCAATTACTGAATGATCCCAGAAAACATTTTGTTCAGTGGGATTTACTACTAATTATTTATGTACCGGGGAAACCATGCATTTGTTCAATGTATAAAATGTGTGTGAAATGGTTTTTCTATAATTTAGATTTTGGTTTCGGTTTCACATAATTTGATTCAATGAAAAAATCACTTTAAGCTAAGACAAAGCTTTTATAAGATTTATGCTGGGAAGATTTCAAATTTTTGTACAGCGTATTGTTTTTATTGTAGAAATATAATTGTATTCTATGTATGTGATATTTTACTTGAGGTAATTTGGAGGTGAAATCAGTCAATATTATGTTGTAATAAGTTGAAATTCTATTATTGCCAAATCTTTATCGTTAGCAAGATTTTACCGTATCACATCTTCAGATAACATATCTAAAAATGGGTTAACATGGGCCGTTCGCTCGACTTAATCAACAGCCTCTAGAATAGACATACATGTTATTGCATAATTTTAAGAATTTGAAAGATTCCTATAATGTACATGTATAATTTATTTTTAAAACATTTTCCAAACTATGATATTATATTCAGGTGTCGGCCGTATACAACTTACATTTTATATATGCAGATGTTTATGGGAGCAATAAGAACAAAGTGCCATTTTGTTTCAATGAATTTCTCCATTTTAACTAGAGAAAGACTTATTTTACGGAGGTAAACATGTGGCGGGTCATCTTTTTGAAATACACGTTTGTGAACTCAATCTGTTAGTAACATTGTTGGAATGATATCTAACAAATCTCAAAATGCCGATACTGCACATTATCATATCATTCCAATGATCTCAGTATTCTGATTGGTCAACATAGTAGTACCATGTGACATTTCATACATCCTCCGAACACAGGGTTCCAGATGTCGTCCACTAAGTTCCTTCCTTCTTCCGGAAGAAGGAGGTACGAGGTACGAGTTCTGGAGGCCTGCGTTCGGAGGATGCATTTCATGCCTCCTTCAACTTTTGAATTGATGAGAGAATATGTCACCTCGTGGATTCTGATCATGATTCTATGATGATATATTTATAAAACAAATATTTCATTTAATGTTTACCATTGTCTCCATAGAATGACATAGTTCCTTGATATGCCCAAGAAATGACCCCATAAAGTATGACTTGTATCTGAAGATGTGAAACTGTATCTTGATTAAGTACAGTACTGTACTCATTAATATATTTGGTATAGAATCTTATACACTGTTGTTGTACAGCTGGTTATAATTATATATATAAATGAACATATTCTATCAAGTATAAAATATTTGTATTTAAACTTTATACAGATTGTCTTCTACGAGAAACGTAGGTCACTAGGTGCTTGACTGTATAATATGTATAGAACTAATATTTAGTTGTCTAGTATTATGTAATATATGGACTGATATTTAGCCTGTAATAGGTAGTAATGATGCGGTAATATTTCTTAATAAACAAATTATAATGCAAATATATAATGGTTTTTATATTAATGTGTAAGGCATCTTACAGAACATCCATTTATTTACCAAACTTTCGACGAGACCAATTGATGTTCCATAATGACCCCAACCCTCCCTGCAAAAAAATATTCTCTTGTCAGAGTTAATTTTGGGATCCAGAGATCCCACCTCATGTCTCCCTTATTTTGAATGTCATTAATTTGTTAGAAACAATATATCCCATTGATTTTGTCCCTAAGAACACAGTCAGTATGCAGTTATGATTTGGGGCAAGCCAAGAGTAAACCTTCTAGATCATGATTTGGGCTTGCCCCAATTCAAACCTGCATACTGACTGTGCCTAAGAATGTATCAGCTCATCATTCCATTCCATTCTCCCATAAGTCCCATTATTTATTTCCATGCTATAGAAAACATTCCATTTGTACTTCATTTTCATCTTTAAGGAGTTACCAATCAACCAACCAAGAAGTGGTGACATATGGTCTCTGTTTTTTTGTGGCGGTTGTTGGTCGGCAGGTGATGGGCGGCAGTTGGCGTCTGTTACAAATTCTTAAACTTCCAATAACTAATACATATTTGCTGTTTTGGGAAATTGTATAAAAAATAATGTATTCATGAAACTGGGTACAATACTGGATCAAGCTGGGGGCGATAGTTGGAGAGACTTGCTCCTGTTTTCACTGGGACCTCCTCATGTGTTCAGACGGGCCTCATCATGGTTTCAGCGGGGTCTTTGCTTTATTGCTCTTGCTAGAAGCTGAGCCTTGAGGGATATGATAAAATTGAAATATAAAGTATTCTGTAAAGCTTTAGAAAGTGAAACACGGAACATTTTTATTTCAAAATACCATCATTATTTCAACCACAGGGCAACGTCGTTCTTCACCTATAATGAATAGAAATATATAGGTAAAGATTCAAGATGATACTTCCTCTCTTCAATTGTCAAATAAAGAACCACAGAACGACCGCTCATGATACTTTTTTTTCACCAGTTGCTTTTTTAGTCTCTAGGCATGAAACGAAATGTGGTAATATCATAGGCATGGTGGTCCAAAAAACATACACATTTCTTATTTGGGAATACCTTTTTTGATAATTCATATAATTTTGAGATGCATGAATTTAGTACAGTCAAAACAGTAATGTTTATGAGTACTTTGAATTTAAAAAATAAGCAATCAAATGACCATATTGAAACATTTTAAAATTTCATATTAAAATTTTTACATAAATTGTTTCAATTTGGTTATTTGATTGCTTATTTTTTAAATTCAAAGTACTCACAAACATTACTGTATTATTACACATCCCACCTCTCAATTATATGCCTTAGATTCCTTTAGCAATCTCTGTATGGAGTCCTAACACCCCTCTGGTTTTACTGATGACATTAACTTGGACGCGTCCACTATTGAATAAAGTAGTTTGTACACGTGCCAACGTCCTCAATTTCCCCATACATTAGTGCAATCAACACGCCGTTTTTGTTTGAAACAAAAATTTTATATGGAGAACAACAAGTCGTCAGTTGTAAAGGATATCAACCTTAATTCAACAATGAACTACAATGTCAATGAACAACTGGAAGATGGACAAATTCCTGACTTTTCAAGTCAACTTCAAAGGGATAGTTCAAATTTGCTGCAAGGGAACATTTTCTCTGGCGAGGAAAATCCAACTCCGGGTAGCATGCCATCCCACACCATCACCAGCGGCATAGACATTGACAACAACATCAACAGTGACTTCATGAATCGTGGGCTCATTCCACCAGGAAATGAGGGGCATGATATGAACTCACAAGGGAAGGACTTGACTTGCCAGTCAAATTTCAACCCTACTTTGGATACTCGTGATTCTGGGCTCACCTCCCTACCCGGGACTGAGGTGCAGGACACATCCAACTTTCAACATCAGCACCCTACAACAGGGAGAGACTTCATACAGTCTAATAG